CCTCACAGCGCTCCCTGAATCACATCCCACATGTGGAGGAGTCTTTCTTGCGGGATCAGATTTATGTCTTTACTTCCCGTGTTCTTCGGCGTCTGATGTAAAAAAAACGTGTTCTCAGAAGCGTCCCCCCCTTGTTTTTTTGTTTTGTGCTGTAAACAAATCGTTTCTGCTCGCAGGGCGCCGTTAATCGTAGCGCCGACAGCATGTCAACACCGTGGCTGGACCTTAAAAATTTGACTTTTAGTGCTTTAATTTATCTCGTTCAATAAAAGCTCCGACTGGAAGGAGGCCCCTCTGACTGTCTGCACACTGGTGAAGGCTAGACCCCCCCCCCCGGGTTCTGTCCCTTCTGGGGCAGAGGTGTTTAATTATGGGCTTTCTCATCATCTGCTCGTGTTTTAGTCTGGCTCACCCCGAGTGTGTGCGTCACAATAAGAGAAGCCTCAGAGTGCACCGGACTGATGAGCTCTCAGACTCCCCGCCGTTTCTCAGAATTAGTCTGGAGTTTTTTTATCCTGAGAGGTGAGAATCCACCGGACTGCTACAGGAAGTTCACTTCTGTTCTCACAAGGTTGTTTTCACATGTTGTAGACACATGGCCGACATACTCTCCATCAGTCATCCTGTAAACAAAAAGAAAAAAAAAAACAGGAGGCAGCCATAAAAAAGTGTCTAGAAACAGCGGCGCTTCTGACAGCGAGCCATAAAAACCTGATTTATCGAGCGGTGGCAGACGGAGGCGTCCTCCCGGCGTGCACACACAACAAATCCAAGCTGAGGTGACCTCTGCGTGTTTCTGCCGTTTCATGAACATGTTTCCCCGAGCATTTAAAAAAGGTATTTGCCTTCTTATAAATCATTCCTGCAGCTGCCGGAGGACTCGTCGTCTTGTCATGGCGAGCGCGGCGTTGTGATTTAAGCAGGTTTTGATCACACGCTTGATTAGAGCGGCGTTAATAAATGAACGCTGTGCATACTTATCCTTACGCTCGCTCTCCGGGTCGAGACGAGGCGGCTCCAGTGTAGGCTCTGATTCATTGTTATGTAGGTCCCGCCCCTTCAGATGTTTCACAGCTTCAACATGTGCGCCCTAAACGTTCAAACACGTCTTTAACCCTCATGCATCATTATGGACATTTTTGTCCATTTGGGAAAAAGTTTCCTCTTCATCTGGTCATCATTTTGTCTGTTAGTACATCTGTGCCCTTTAATGCCAGAATCATGTAATCAAACTGGCATTTAAAGGGTTAAATTCCTAAAAATGATTAAATATTTGGTAGTTTTGAGCAGGGCTGAAGTTGTTTAAGAGATTTATGCAAAAAAAAGTAGAAAGAAATATCAATCTGTTCTATTTTTATATCAGTTTTTGTAAATTGGACATTTTCGGCCTCCGATGTCCAAACAGGGAACTACATAAATCTGATGCTACACAAAAACTAACAATGCATCAAAGTCAATATTTAGGATAATCTTTGACATATCCAAGACTGTTTTTAAATAAAAATCCCCCAGCCACCAAATATTTGTTGAAAAATAACTAATTTTTGTGTTGTTTTTTTTTTTCATAAATAACAACAGTGGCATCAAATAATCAAACTGGCATTTAAAGGGTTAAATTCCTAAAAATGATTGAATGTTTGGTAGTTTTGAGCAGGGCTGAAGTTGTTTAAGAGATTTATGCAGAAAAAAGTAGAAAAAAATATCAATCTGTTTTATTTTTATAGCAGTTTTTTGGAAGGGGACATTTTTGTCCTTAGTGACGTAAGAGGGTCGTAAATTAAACGGATGCCTGAGGGTTAAAATAAACGTCTTTTGTGGATCTGGAGTCCTGGCGTTTGCTTTGTCGGTGATGAATCAGGCGTTGGTGTAAATAACCGTTTAATGGAACGATTGGGGTTCAGCTGCCTCAGATAATCGATACCTCCTCATCTGAGTCTTATCACCATCCTGATTTATCACCATGAACTTCTGAAGGGACGACCTGCTGACGTCACGTTTCCCGGGGATCTTATGATCGCAGCTCTTCACCCACTCAGTCAGTCACACTCCTCTGAGCGGCGGCGGGCGGCGTCGGGGGGGGGGGGCAGGAGAGAAGTGGAGCTGCCTGGCACCCCACCAGGACAGGATGTGGAGCAGTCGCTGCATCAGATAATACCTCCTGCTGAGAGTGCAGGCAGCCATTGGTCCATCTGTTCTCCCATCTGAATCACTGTTCCCCAAATAGAAAGCTGCTGTCTCGCCACTTTACCCATCTCGCACTTCTCCTCCTCGCTCCTTGTTAGACGTGTTCAGTTACACAATCAAGTTTTCAGGATTTCAAATCAGAAATCAGACTCTGGATCATCATGTGTGGATCGTTGCAAAACACCGGAGGAGTCAGAAGTTATTGAAGAAAACAAACAATTTATCACAGAACGGGTTTGGGCGCCGGATGGCCTAGCGGTTATGAAGCACGCCCCATGTACATAGGCTACAGCGATGTGTTCAAATCTGACCTTCTGACCTTTGCTGCGCGTTTTAAAACAAATAGCATTGAACAGTTACCTCACATTTCCTCAGCAGCTGAATCTAAACCTTTCTCTCCTCTTTCTCTCTGACGCTCTCTTGACTGACGTTCTCCCCTCCTCTTGTCAGGTTATCATCACAGCCTCCCGTCCTCGCCGTACTCCACGGGTCCAGAGGGTCAGAGGTTGCCTCCCTCCGGCGCCTTGTCATCAGAGTTTCTCAACCAGGGCGTCCCAGTGAAGATTCTGCTGCTGGTGTGCAACGCCGCCGGAGCGGGCCAGCAGACCGTGAGGTGATTATATCTGTTGACCCCCTTCAAACAGCGCTTGTCTAATAATAGCCTAGCAACGGTAACCAGGCGAGGGGAGACCGCTTTGAACTCCTTTGCATGTTGAAGTAGAGCGGGGTGTCTTTTTACTTTTTTACACAACCAGAGAAAAAAAACAACAATGTGAGATGTGATTCAATCTAGTAGCAGAGAGATTCTTTGCTAGCCTCGACGTCATCTTTTGTTGTAGAATTGATCGAGAGCCCCTCATTTTCCCCTGAGCTGGGAAATCTTTGTATTTCTGAGTCTGAAAAGAAGCTTCCAGTGACGCAACATGACGATTTTTGTCACTGGAAGCTGTTGCGGTTAGCGGGGTGAAACTACAATGCTAGTTCATCATAATTATGTCTAAATGTTTTTATTTCTATATTTCTACTGCTATATTTATATTTTGGAGAAACTGTAACAAACGTATTTCCCTCTGGGATTAATAAAGTGTTTCTGATTCTGAACTAGAGGACCTTAGTGGGAGTGGCCTGTGGTGCTGTGCATTCTGGGATTTGGTGTCTTTCATCCACATGAGCCAAAAAGACTCTTTCTGCCTTTTCTCAGTCAAGAAGGCACCAACTTCAAAATGTATTTCACATTTCTACATATATGACCCAATGTCAACACAGATTCATGTTTCAATGGGTGAAGTGTCCCTTTAAGTTGACGCCAGCTTTAAAGGTTACAGCGCTGTAACGTTAGCGACTGAATTGACAGAAATCTTCCTGATGTTCGGTTCTCTCTCAGCAGACGTCAGCTCTGTTTACAGAAGCTGAGTCCACATTTTATCAAACGTCAAGGTCACGTCAGCTCCCAGTTCCAGAAAGAGGCCCGGCGTCTCGCTGTGAGATGAGTTTCAGATCAATGGCCCTGAGGACTCGGGACACCTGCCGTGATATAGAGATCAAACATTCATCTCCCTGACGAACGTGCAGAGAGATCAATACGAGACAGCTCGCCTGCTCGGCTGTGGGGGAAAGTCCAATCCCACTCCCAGTGTCGGTTTCTCCTTCAAACACCTCGCCGCCGTCCGTCAAAACCACCCACCGCCTCCCACTCTCATCAGGTGACAGCTGGACGTCAGGAAAACGATTTTGGAGTCACTTACTCTTCTCTCACTCTGGTTACTGAAATGCACCTGAGAAGCTTCTCTGCAGACAAAGTGTGAAACGCTCTGATTGGTTGAACTGTGATACACAGGAACAAGTGCAGCTCTCATATTCTCTATGACGAGACTGTGAGGAAGAAGACTGACCTTTTGTCTGTCACTGTAAGAGTTCCAAGTTACTAATTTCCTTCAGAGCTGAGATTTAAAGAGCGCTGTCCTGCACTGATGATTGACACATCACAGAAAACAGAGCCGACCATCTTTCATGGTAGAAATATTTAATTTGCATCTCGTTCATATTCTCTGATCCAACCTTCACATCAGGGTCCTAAGTCTCTGACTAGACTCTTCTCTCTGTCGCCCCCCGGTGGTGGAATGAACTTCCAAACTCCATGTGATCTGCAGAGTCTGCACCTTTAAGAAAAAGCTAAAGACCCAGCTCTTTCATGAATACCTACTAACTTAATGATGATGGTCTCCATATTATTGATGATGATGATGATGGTAATGACGATGGTTTTTGTTTGATAACGACGACTTATAAGATGGTTTCTATACTGATTAGAGCTCTCAAGAACTGCCCTCAATGTTGTGCTTTGCCTCTGGTCACTTCCTGTCAGCACCTGTGTGTCCAATCAGACTCAAAGCTGATCGTTTGCTCTTACTCACATTGTTCCCTTTTTTCTAGATCCTTGCTCGTGTTGTTCTTACTCTCTGATGTACGTCGCTTTGGAGAAAAGAGTCTGATAAGTGAATTGTAGAATGTAATGAGAGTCCTCGATTAGTTCATTTAAAGGTCAAAGACGCTGAACGTCTCCCTTGAAGGAGGCCTTTGATTCAGCATTCATAGAAACTAAAACCACACAACCCAGGAGGGGAATCGTTTCTCCCTTTGCTTCCAAAGTTTCCAAATCAATTCTCCTCATTTAGTCTCTACCGTGCAGTGGTCGGGGTCACTGCAGCCGCCACAGCACGCTAATGGTTACCATCCTATTCTGTTGTAGGGGAGACCACACTAACCGAGACCAGAGTGCTCCGAGACCGAGACATTAAGGGATCGAGACTGAGACCAGAAAAATCACAGAAAAATATTCATCTTGTGTGCAAAGGGTCTCGTCCCTTGCTTAGACTGTAACACCGGGAAGGTTGCGGCCATAACCAGGGGATAAAAATCAAATTATAAATGTAGTTTGAGACCGACACAAGACCGAGTAGTCCAAGCTTCCGATTCCAAGACCTTCAAAAAGTGGTCTCAAGATCGATTTCAAGAACTCCAACACTTCCATCCTAAACAGTAATCCATCTCCATGGCAACTATTGTTTGTATTCTGGAGGATTTGTCAGATTTTTGCTGCTTTGTTTAAGTGTCTTTCAACAAAACAAATATAAAAACTAATTAAAGAGAGAATGTATTTCTTCCACACAGCTTTTATTTCTTTCCTCTCCTGAGCGCCGCTCGGCCGTGTGCTGAGCCTGTGTGTCGACATGTTTTCATTCTAATAAATCTGAAGCATACAATGGAGGGCTGCCCTCAATTAAATGTGTTATGATGACTTGAGCTATCATTTCAGAGGAGGAGGGGGGGGGGGGGGGGGGGGGGGCGAGGTCGGCACTCGTCCCTCTCCTCAGCAGCTATTTTCACTCATTATCTCGCTCTGTCCTCTCAGAGATACCCCGTAATGAGAAGCCTCCTCTCATGCCGATCATCATGATTATTTACATCACAATGGGATGAAGGGAAACGTGAGACAGTCCGGGTTTATGGCGAGCGCTGCGAGCTGTCATTTGAAGCTTTTTTTTTTCTTTCTCTGTTTCTAATTAAGGTTTGGACCTCCGTTCCTAATGAGGGAGGACCGGTCTATTTCCTGGGACCAGCTGCAGCAGAGCATCCTCAGCAAGCTGTATTACCTGATGATCAACGGAGCTCAGGCGCAGGTATCACAAAACTACTCGTAACCATTTAGAGTGGATATGAAGGAAATCGACTTTTTATCCTTTGATGAGGACGTGGAGTAGATGATTGGCTCACGTACCGACTCTTAAACACGGCCGCTACTCGAACCCTTCTCGTAAAACCCTTCTCGTAAAACCCTTCCTGCCTTATTATCGTCTTAATATAATTCATATGAAACACAAGTTAAAGCCTCTGCAAGCAGGATTTCTTACTGACTTTTTGATCCAGTAGATGTCGCCCTTGAGCTCCTCCATCCTGAAGCCTCCGCTCTCCTCCAGAGACACACATCCAACCCCCCTCGAATCGCGTTCAAACAAAGGATCAAAATCGTCCTTTCCTCGAGCTTCACATCGCCTGTGTCCTGCATTGTTGTGTTAGCATGCTAATGTTAGCGCTCTTTAGTTAGCTCGTAGCTTCACATTTCATGTAAACTGACACAGAATGAGCGTGATCTAAAAACTCTTACTAACATCCAAATAATCAGTGAGTATGTTCTTCTTCTTCTCTCTAGTTCTTGACTAAAACAGCTTTTATACACAAGGGGAGGAGCCGGCCGTCCCGTCCATGTAAACACGGCTCTGACAACAACACAGCCAGCGGGACTCGAGCTTCTCCCTCATTGTAGACAGTCAGGACTCAGAGACACATTTACACAGGACAGACTTTATGATTTATTTTGGGTTATTTTTACCTCTATTTGATGGGACAGTGGATAGAGTAGGAAATGAGGGAGGAGTGGGGAACAAAACGCTGGAAAGTAGCCACTAGTCGGATTCGATCTCGGGCTGCCCGGTGGAGGCCTATAGCCTCGTACCGCGACCTAACCACTTGGCCATCTGTACCCCTGGATCTGCTTTCCTTAGGAGAGGTTTGATTACAAAAGATTGTATTTTTTTGTAAGCGATCGATATTAGAAATAATAAAAAGAACAGGGAGTTGTGATGAGGACAGTCATGGTCGACATCGTCTGCAACCACAACAACAAGAAGTCAGGGGATAAATAAGTTTTATATTATTAGGTATTCTATGTTTTATTTACTGCATCCACAACCAGAAACCTCCTGGGCTGCAGTTGCCTCTCAGCCCTGTGTGATAAATCAGCGCTAATTGTTCCATGATGCTCGTAAAGCTAACATTTAACGGCCTTGTTGTGTGGGCGCGCTTGTTTTCTGAGCACCGGCTGGAGGCAGAGCGGGGACACGGCTCCCTCCTGCCGGGCCGGCTGGCGCACCTGTTCCTGGGACAGGTTTACTGGCTCAGGACGGAGCAGAGCGTGCCCACACATGGACGACGAGTGGTACAGCGGGGAGAGCTCAAAGCCCCCCCCCCCCACCAGAACACAGGCCGAGGAGTCAGGTTAACGGGTTTGAGACATGTGCATGATTATTCCTCTCTGCCCTCCTGTCGTCTGGTTTCTCATGTGGGTAGAGACTCCATAAAGAAATCTAGATTTGTTTTGTGGAGGAGGCTGCAGCTTCTTCTGGAGAGAGAACACTTCAGTGACTCTGCTGCAGCGTCCTGTTGGTCCAGGTTGACTCTGTCCGCTGTTTCTGTGACAGTCTCTAACCCTCTTTACTGTCTATACTAAGAGTCAATGTTTGGCTTTTTTTCTGCAGGTTAAAGGCTTAATATGCATTTTTTTTGATCCAGCAGATGTCGCCCTTGAGCACCAGCATGAAACCAAAACAACTGGCGCTGCATTGTTGTGTTAGCATGCTAATGCTAGCGATCTTTATTATGCTGGTATCTTCACACTGCATGTAAATTTACCTGAAATGAGCGTGATCTAGAAACACAGTTAAGCAGTGAGTACAGTATGTTATTCTTCTTTTCTCTAGTCCCTCAATTAAACAACTTTTATACACGAGGGGAGGAGTCAGCCGGCCGTCCTGGCGATGTAAACAAAGTGAAGATAGGACTCTGAAAACTCTGAAAACATCACAGACAGTGGGACTCGGGTGTTACACCCATTGTAGACAGTCATGACTCACAGAGTTATTTTCAGAGGAGATACTTGATTTCTACATTTAAGTGAGAAAAATCACATAAAGACTTTAAAGCTCTTTGAAAGTTATTCCCTGAATTCCCTCAGTTTTAGTCTCTTAGTGGAGTTCACACACTGCACAGAAACTGTAAATCAGCTTTCTGCACATGACTCAGTGTTCTTTGAGAGACGTGAGGAGAGAGAGAGAGAGTGAGCGAGCGAGGAGGAGGAGAGGATTCAGGTGCAACATTTCCAGTAGCTCAGCCGGAGATCTGAAGTCTCCTTTGTGCCTCACGCTGTCAGCCGTTTAATTAAAGCCCGCCTCGTACAGTATAATCAGTTGGCTGTAGTCTACCTCTGCCAAGACAGCTCGGAGCAGATGTTTGCTCTTCATCGCTCAGCTCGACTGAATGTTTCCTTATTTTCCTGGAGTCTTCAGCTTCTGTCTAATTTTAGCTCCTCAAAGATTCAAACACAAAAAGAATCTGCTGCCATCTACAGCTATTTGTCCCGCTTTTGACATCACTTGACATCTTAATTTGAGCGTTTTGCAGATTGATGTTGAGCAGTAAAACATGCTGCATGAATCTACAGTCACATTAACGCCTTCTGGAGCCGTATGTGAACAAACAGGCCCTGAACGCTGCAAACTCTGGAAAATATAAAAATCCCTGTTTATGCACACACACGCACACACACACACACACACACGCACGCACGCACGCACGCACACACACACACACACACAGAAACACAGAGTGCTTACAGTAACAACATAATGAAACTCTGTGCTCTTTGCTTGGGCAGTAATTGGAGATCTTTTGCCCTGTCAGGCACAAACAATGCCACAAACATCCCCCCCCTTCCCCCTCGCACCAGCCTCACTGAACACACAGAGTCATTAACCCCGGGTAAAAAAACATTTTTCCCATGACAGAAACCTCCCAAACATGTGAGTCTCCTCGTTTTATGAGAAGATGTTAACTGCTCACATTTCATTTTTCTCCTCGCTCGTACTTAACTATCCGATCAGTTTTACTAAACCGACCCAGCGTCCCTCAACGTTTTCTCTTCTTCTGTGCTGAGTGGACATGAACACACAGCAGCACAACAGTTTGCTTCAACATGCATCAGTCAACAATACAACTGCCGCAATAGCGAGCACATTTAAAAGCCTCTTCTTCTCTTGTTGGATTTTTGAACTTTCTTTTTTTTTAAACCTCCCTTAGGGGGCGCCACCTGACAGCCCTCACTCTCTGTCCCTGCTAAGCGTCACATGCATTATCGCTGTGAAGTCCAAAGTTTGTCAATGAAACTTTGGTTCGTCTCCTCTGTCGCCCCCCGGTGGTGGAATGAACTTCCAAACTCCATGTGATCTGCAGAGTCCCTCTGCACCTTTAAGAAAAAGCTAAAGACCCAGCTCTTTATGAACACCTACTAACTTAATGATGATGGTCTCCATATTATTGATGATGATGGTAATGACGATGGTTTTTGTTTGATAACGACGACTTATAAGATGGTTTCTATACTGATTAGAACTGCCCTCAATGTTGTGCTTTGCCTCTGGTCACTTCCTGTCAGCACCTGTGTGTCCAATCAGACTCAAAGCTGATCGTTTGCTCTTACTGACATTGTTCCCTTTTTTTCTAGATCCTTGCTTGTGTTGTTCTTACTCTCTGATGTACGTCGCTTTGGATAAAAGAGTCTGATAAGAGAATTGTAGAAAGCCATCAAATAAAAATGAAGAGGAATGATCGCTCTATAAGAGAGAAAAAAGAAAAGAGGAAGAGGAGTAATCGTCTTGACACCCCTGAAATGTTTGAGCACACATTTTCCGTAAAGTGGAGCAGGCAGGAGACGGGGAGGATGGACTTTTCTCATCATTGGGGGGTTTGTAGACGGACTAGAGACACAATTATATGTGACCTTTAAAAAAGAACTTAACTCTTATGAAGTGTCGCTCTTACAAAAGCTACACAGGCCTGGATTAGAGTGAAAACTCTGAGATATCTTTGTGTGTGTGACTTGCTGAATCTTTTAGTCACACTCTGTGTCTTTGCCATTGGAGGATGTGAAATCTGAAGCCACACATTTGAGTTTTCAGAGTTTTATCTTTTGTCTTTGAGACGATGTTTGGACTCTTTGGGTGGTCTTTCTGTGTAAACACTGAGCCTTTCATTGGAAGTCCCAGCGAGAGCAAAATGAAAAGACAACATGTTTTGTGCTTACACTCGTCATCTAGCTTTACAGGCAGAAACATGCAGAAGAGCAGCACAGGACACCTCTGTGTGCGTAAACACATGAAGAAGAAAAACGACAATACAGTCTTTGTTACGCAGCTGATGGACGTCCAGTGATTCAGCAGCTGACTGACATGTCTGATACTGAATATATTTACTCTACACATCGTTCACATGGATTATGTAACCTCCCCTCAGGGTTATGGATTCCACCAGGTTCATGTGTTCAGCATGTCAATATTGCCGTGTGCTCTGGTGTGATCCTCGTCATCAGAGAGCTCCTGCTGGATCGACTCAGAGCGAGGGTTTGTGTTTGAGCTCAGCCAGAAGCTACACGCCAAATTTCAGCACAAGACGAGATCGCTTTCATTCTTGTGAAGAACGCCTTAACTACTAAAGACGCCTCGAATATCAGAGTAATAAAAGTTTGCTTAAAATGAAGAGAATAAGAAAGACAAGGACCATGTTTGACCTTTCTTTTTTATCTTCAAATTTGGCTTTCTGTCCAATAAATTCCTACAGAAGCCTGAAGCCGACGTTCATCTGTGAAATGCCTTGTGGTGAACTCTGTAGCTTCAGTGTTTAGCCAGCTCTGCATGGGTCTGTAAACCTTTCTGCGTTCTAACCTCTCTCCTTAGGTTTCTCCATGTTTCCTTAATGTCTGATCAGATAGTGAGCTCACTTTATCATTTCACTCTCTACACATCTCACTGATTGGACCTTTAACATGCAAACAAAACTTTGGTACTACAGTATTGTTGGGAGTTAAAGAGCATCAGGTGCAGGCTTCGGCCTCTCCCTCCTGGTGGCCCGCTTTGTTCTCGTCTGTCTTTTTGTTGCTTCAGCCTGAAGACTTACTAAATAAAACCCTGAGAGTGTGAAAATATGCCAATGTTTACATGAACACGCCCAGCTCTGCATTCCTGCAAAAGTTCTGAACAGATGTCCAAGAGTCCAGCCATGACTTCAATCAGCGTGCACCAGCAAGTCAGAAGAGGAAGTTTTCATTCATTTGTTTCTAATGGTTTGTCAGTAGACACAACGTTTTCAGTCGCTCGAGAGTTTTGAAGCTTTTGAGTCCGCCATAGGAGAGATGGATGATTCAAAACCCGACCCAGCATCAATCCCTTCATCATGATAACCTTTTATAGCCGAGCGATCTTCCTCAGCTAAACGGTTTAAAGCTTAGGATCAACCATTCAGCCCGTCTGCCAAGTTTACTGAGTCAAAGCGGAGCTCGTTTGAGACGCAGACTGAAAGTGAAAGAAGATCTGGACCTCACCTGAGAAGCCTCTGGATACTCATCAAACACCTTTACTTCCTGCCTGCTAGTCTCCAACATGAGCCATCTGGAACTGATCCGCAGTAATGACTCTTCTTCTGCACACACATATTGGATTCATAAAACATTTGCAGACACATTTTTAATGTTGTGAATCCTCCGAACAGAGCCGTTACTCTGACGGATCTCCTCACAAAACTCTGAGCTACGTCTTCTCATTTCACCGTCGTGACATCATCTCATCAAACGTATGCAGAAGCAGAATGGACGACAACGCCCGGGGAGCTACTGTTCTGATAGATCGCTGCAGTGAAACTAAAGAGTGTGGGGCAGAAAAAGAGGAGACGTTAGCATGCTAACTTACCCACAATGCCCTGAACCAGCTGCGACAAAATAACCAACATATAAGTTAAGATCTGGTGTTCTCTCTCTGGCCGTTGAAGTTGGTCGATTCAAAAATATTCCAGTAGAAAACAGACTTTGTGAGATGTGTGAGTTGGAGTCCAATTTTCTTTTGCATTGTACAAAATCTGATGATTTAAGAGAATCATTGTTTCATGAAGTAAAATCTGAAATATTGGGGCGGACAGATGTGCAGAAACTGGAATGGCTGTTTAAGTTTGATGTGTTCAAACTTGATTATTTTGTTTCAAAAGGTTGGAAAAGAAGACAGGATATTCTGTTTGATTGACTTCTTGCTTTCTCTATTTGTTTCTTGAGAATGAATATAGTTTACCTCGTGTACTCTGATCCGAGAACGTTTTTAATTTATGGTGTCATGTAAGAACATGTGATTTTTTTATTTTATTCAATGTGCGCAGAGGCGCTGCTCACCAACAGGCGAGGCAGGCCACTACTTTGGGCCCCAGACCAGTGGGGGGCCCTGAAAGGCTCACAAACTCAGCTCCGTCAGTCTGGAGCCCTCTTTTAAAAACTATCACCTGCACGTCTTTAACGGGTTTGTTTGTTGCGATCATCTTTCAGAACACCAGAGTGCTGTTCAACATCCGGGTGGTGGGAGGGTCAGCGTTCTACAGCTACCTGTCACCTCAGGACGGCCGGCCGCTCTACCATCCTGCTGTGGACAGGTGAGGGTCCCTTTAAGTTTATTCTAAGACCTCTGATGTCACACACACATTCAGTAAGTCCAGCAGCTGTGAGAAGACGTTTGGGTTTGATATCGTTACAAATATTTCAGATTCAGTATTTCTTAATGAATGGTATCGTTTATAACCAGGTGTGATTAAGTCCAGGTTTTAATGTCAGACCTTTTTTTCATCCTTTAAACTGTAAAGGTGAGAGTTTTTATTTCCCAGCATCTCCTTTTCAGTGCTCTGATGTCTGATGGCGTTTCTCTTGCAGTTGTTTGTGTTTTCAAAGGAGCCTCGTTCAGAAAGTCTATTTGTGTGGTTTCTAAGAGCGGCTCATTCAACGGCCTGATGGAGCTTTCAATCTTTTGACACACTAATGTGCCACACGCTGTGTCCCTGGAAACGAATGTAATGATAAATATGATGATTCAGAAAAGAAAAGGAGCTGCTCTACAGTCAGAACAAACGTGTGTTAGTGTCCTTGTGAAGAGATCTGTGATACTGTGGTAAAATGTTTAGAAGGTCAATCAAATCAGTCCCCCGACTGTTCATCCCACACTCACATCCTTTCCCTGTGTCTGTATCTGGGCTCATTGACCGCTACATATAAATCCTAAAACTCTGCATATTTATGAACCTCTCGTCTTCTTCTTGACGCTGACCTGCCGACATGTGGAAGCTCGTTCTTGCTGCAGTTTGGATTCAAAATCTGAACTCCAGATCCACATCAGTTCTTCAGTTCCTGTCATGTGTCTGATGTCTCCGTCTAGTCATGCTGCATTATATACTGTGGTAGTGCTGACACCTAGTGGTCAAAAGGCATCACTGCAGGGCAGGATTTCTTCTTTTTTTATGTGATGTTTACTTCAGTTCAGATCTTTATTGTCAAATTTGATTTGCAGCAGTGGACACAAAAACACAACAGATAAACAGACAGTGCAACACAACCTGATGAAATACAACCAAGAAATATAAAACTCACTGTTCGTTAAGAAGTTTCACTCAAATGGTATAAATGTATAAATATGATAAATATAAAGTGCAATAGCTCTGCTTGAAAGTGCAGTCAAGGATTTAAAGAAGTTTAAGAGCATTAATTGCACGAGGAACATATGAACATTGAAATCTGTTTGCCTTAGCCCTGGGCAGCCTGAACCTCCAACCTGAGGAGAGAAGAACAGATTCCTCTAAGAGAGGACGACAGTCAGAGCTGGACAAGATAGACTTTGCTTTCCTAACAACTTGTCTGTTCCAGATATCTGACAATGAAAGCTGCTGAGTGCCGATTGTTTTACTGGCTGTATTGACGATACTGCAAAGACGATTTTTGTTCTGAACAGAAAGGTTACCATACCATGGCATTAGCAATCAAAATAATTAGATATGGACAGAAGAGGTTGAACTTATCAGAAGGCTGCAGGACAGAAAACCTCAGGTTGTCCGGCAGCTTGTTCCACAGCTGAGGACCGAGGACCTGTACCAGAGGACCTGAGGGGGTCTGGATGCCTCATAAAGGACTAGAAGATCTAATGGATGCTCAGAGATGCACAGTAACTGTTCATGCACATTTCATCAATGAAAAGAAGTTCAAGTTTGTCTTAATGGAGGAGTGAGGTTGTGCAGATGCTCCTCCTCTTCCTCAAATGACCTCTGACCTCTGTGTATCTCTCAGAGCTCTGAAGCTGTGCGGCTCAGGAGGACCTCCACATGTGAAGCTCATCATCGAGTGGGAGCACAGGATCAAAGACTGGTCAGTTCACTTCTGTCTCAGACCGTCTTTTGTGTCGTCATGGTTACACCTTAAAGGTTTTTTCAAACGTCTCCGTGTTCACCACCTGCAGTCTGTTTGGAAACATCCACGAGGAGGTGGTGAAGGACGCGGACAGCGTGAGGAATCAGCAGCAGCAGCACGTGCAGGCGTACAGCTGCACGCTGGACGAGTGTTTCCAGCTGTACACCAAAGAGGAACAGGTCAGTTAAAACCCCGATCAGCTGATGATGTCATGTTCATATCGTTTCTGTAAAACATATTTTTTTAAGGTAAGCTACATCGTTAGAATCTACTTCAGAGTTTTTTCTCCTCAGGAGGTCGACACTGATGAGAAAAACTAAATCACTTCAGGGTTTGTTTATCCCAAGACTGATATCTGAGGTGACACCTTGCAGACAGCTCCCACCTGTCACTCAAAGAGGCCACGCCCTAATTCCACATCACTTTAACCCATTTTTGGATCATTCATTTCTCCTAGATCGGCATTTTTCAGACCTTCTGTTGTGTTGATGTTCATACATCAAGCTTTTTGACCTCCTTCACCTTCTGTTGGGAGTTAGTGATGTTGTTTCAAAATGTTGTTAGTGAAACAGTAAATGTTTAAAAATGGCGTTCTTTATGACCTTAAAATCAAACCAATCCAACAACAAGAATAAATCAGTAAGAGTGAGAGTAAGAGAGGACATGTTTTCATAAATATCAGGGTTATTTAGTATTTTATATCAAAGTCAATCAACAGTTAACACAGTTCAGGAGCGTTGGCTGCAGTTACCTTGTGTCACCACTAGGTGGAGGTGCAGGCGTGAGGATGGAAAATACTCCTGATCATTATCCTCACTTATAACTCCAAACTTATAAATATTAACATCAGTGATGATGAATCCTGCAATCATAAAATTTGGATTTCTCTCAGGACTTTTTTTGTTAATTTATAAAATGAAGGAATAAAAAAAACTAAAAAAAAAACTTCATTCAGTCAGGACATAGAATAGAGTAGAGTAGATCACACATCACTACAGGTGTATTTGTTTATTTGTTTATAAGGATTGTCATTAGTCTTCTTTGGGTCCAGGCGTTTGACAACAACAACACCCCCCCCCCATTTTCTTACTTCTTCTTCTTCTCTGCTTCTTAATAAACGGCCAAATAGAATATACAACAACTATCTCACAATGTACAGCTGAATCATGTCAATTAGTGTTATCAATATCGTCGGACAGGAAGTGATGCTTACCTGATAGTTGTCTTCACATGTATAACAGGGGACATGACCCTGCTAGAACACTAATCTGTTCTGTGGCGTTTCCTGCAGCTGGCCCCGGACGACGCCTGGAAGTGTCCTCACTGTAAGCAGCTGCAGCAGGGCGTGGTGAAGATGAGCCTGTGGACGCTGCCCGATATCCTCATCCTGCACCTGAAGCGCTTCAGACAGGTGGGCGAGCGCAGGAACAAGCTCACCACCTTCGTGCACTTCCCTCTGGCCGGCCTGGACATGACGCCTCACATGGTGAGCCGCGGCCACGCCTCCCATCAGCCCCCTCTGCAGCCGGGCTGGAAACAGTCCAGACGACCCGACCCGGCTCCTCCTGACTTCCTGTACGACCTGTACGCCGTGTGCAACCACCACGGAGGGATGCACGGCGGACATTACACAGGTCAGACTTTAAAACAGGATATGAAGCAGGATTTACGATTAGAGGGGTCTATGTCTGTGTTACACTGAATATTCTGACTACATTTTTGTCAAAACTGCAGCTCAGCTGATCTATTTTTTTTAAATCTATTTTTTTAAATCTATATTGTGGTATCTATCTACATTTTTGTCCATTAACACTGTAAATTTCCCCGTTGTTGGATAAATAAAGGATTATCTTATCTTTGGGGTCCAGTTCTGGTTTTCAGCTCTATAAGAGTGGGTCGCCACAGTAACAGACCTGCTCTGGTACGTGGCTGTGTTCACACTCAGACATCAAAGATATGAGAATATTTGAGTCCATTGTTGTTCTCTGTGCAGCGTTCTGCAGGAACTCGGTGGACGCTCAGTGGTACAGCTACGACGACAGCAGCGCCGAGCCGGTTCCTGAGGCGGAGGTGTGCACACGAGGAGCCTACATCCTCTTTTATCAGAGAAGAAACACCATCCCTCTCTGGTCTGCCAGCTCCTCGCTCACAGGTTGGTCCTTTTTTTAAAATGCTCTGAAGACGCTTCTCATGTTGAGAACAGAGTCTGACTCACATCCTTCAGACGTCATGCTCAAATAACGGGGGGGAATGTGGGAGGAGCTTTGAACCTTTTATATCTGCATGAATCTCTTTTTTCTGGATTCTGTTCCATCGTACACATTTGATTTTTCCCTGTGGAGGCAGGTTTGTTGTTCTGCTCTCGCTGTGGGCTCAGTAAAAACAATAGATATATAGATAATAAGTGTTTGAATCACCACAAGCCCTGCAGCTACTCAACTTTAGTCGCATGCAATTTGACACATTTTCAGACCAACTCTCAGAAATCATTTTATTGTTTTGAAACTTTAAATTATGTCCACAACTTTCCTCTTTTACGTTACATTAACGCCCACTGGACTTTAAAAATGTATCTTTCTTACATGCACTCTTTGAGTAGTTACACACACTAAGAATTTATTTCTCATAGTCCACTGCACAGCTCCTATTACACCTTTTGTACATTTTGTGTTTTTTATATTTTACATTTTACATTTTAAATTATATTTTATATATTGTAATATCTTATTCTGTATTATTTAAGTTGTTGCTAGTTCTGCTTTATTTCCTTGTTAATTGTTTAGCACCAATACACCAAGTCAATTCCTCGTATGTGTAAATGTACTTGGCAATAAACCCAGATTCTGATTCTGATTTCATTTGTTTCAGGCTCCACCAGCTCGTCCACCTCTGACCACTGGCTGGTCCGTCTGACGGGGGGCAGCAAGCGGGGCAGTGTAGGGTCAGGAGGACCTGTTCCTGGACCTGCAGGTCCTCATCAGGCTCCGGAGTCTCCTGAGCTCCCTGTGTTTGGAGACGAGCCGACGAAAACACAAGAAACGAGTCAGTATCTGGAGAAGAGTCTTTATCTCACAGACATAAACATCTTAGAACAACTTAAGTTTGCTAGAATAACATCATGGTGCAGATTTGTAAAAACGTAAAAAGTTGAGCTTTGTCAGGTCCGTCTTCATGAGAAGAAATTTTATGTTTTGAGATTCCGTTGACTCAAACTTAAGCAGACAACAAACATTCTTGTCTAAGGCAAGGCAAGTTTATTTATGTAGCACATTTCAACAACAAGGCAATTCAAAGTGCTTCACATAAGACATCAAAAAGCATCATGACAGAGGAAAGAAAAGAAACATTAAAATAGAACATTAAAAATCACTGAAATTATTAAATCTGAAAATATGTTCAAATAAAATAATTCAAATGAAATTAATTGAAATAAGTGAAGTAAAATATAAAAAGAGTTAAAGGTTACAGTGCAGAGTAAAAGTTAAAAATCTTATTAAAGCTATTTAATTAAGGGGCGCGCTGGTGGCGCAGTGGTTAGGGCGCGCGTCCCATGTGTTGAGACTCTCGTCTCGAGCGGTAGGCCCGGTTTCACTTCCACCCATGGCCCCTTTCCACATGTCATTCCCCGCTCTCTCTCTCTGGTTTCTGACTCTATCCACTGTCCTCTCTCTCCTGGTTTCTGACTCTATCCACTGTCCTCTCTCTCTCTGGTTTCTGACTCTATCCACTGTCCTCTCTCTCTCTGGTTTCTGACTCTATCCACTGTCCTCTCTCTCTCTCTGGTTTCAGACTCTATCCACTGTCCTCTCTCTCTCTGGTTTCTGACTCTATCCACTGTCCTCTCTCTCTCTGGTTTCTGACTCTATCCACTGTCCTCTCTCTCTCCTGGTTTCTGACTCTATCCACTGTCCTCTCTCTCTCTCTGGTTTCTGACTCTATCCACTGTCCTCTCTCTCTCTGGTTTCAGACTCTATCCACTGTCCTCTCTCTCTCTGGTTTCTGACTCTATCCACTGTCCTCTCTCTCTCTGGTTTCAGACTCTATCCACTGTCCTCTCTCTCTCTGGTTTCAGACTCTATCCACTGTCCTCTCTCTCTCTGGTTTCTGACTCTATCCACTGTCCTCTCTCTCTGGTTTCAGACTCTATCCACTGTCCTCTCTCTCTGGTTTCAGACTCTATCCACTGTCCTCTCTCTCTCTCTGGTTTCTGACTCTATCCACTGTCCTCTCTCTCTGGTTTCAGACTCTATCCACTGTCCTCTCTCTCTCTGGTTTCAGACTCTATCCACTGTCCTCTCTCTCTCTGGTTTCTGACTCTATCCACTGTCCTCTCTCTCTCTGGTTTCAGACTCTATCCACTGTCCTCTCTCTCTCTGGTTTCAGACTCTATCCACTGTCCTCTCTCTCTCTGGTTTCAGACTCTATCCACTGTCCTCTCTCTCTCTGGTTTCAGACTCTATCCACTGTCCTCTCTCTCTCTGGTTTCAGACTCTATCCACTGTCCTCTCTCTCTCTGGTTTCAGACTCTATCCACTGTCCTCTCTCTCTCTGGTTTCAGACTCTATCCACTGTCCTCTCTCTCTGGTTTCAGACTCTATCCACTGTCCTCTCTCTCTCTGGTTTCTGACTCTATCCACTGTCCTCTCTCTCTGGTTTCAGACTCTATCCACTGTCCTCTCTCTCTGGTTTCAGACTCTATCCACTGTCCTCTCTCTCTCTGGTTTCTGACTCTATCCACTGTCCTCTCTCTCTCTGGTTTCAGACTCTATCCACTGTCCTCTCTCTCTCTGGTTTCTGACTCTATCCACTGTCCTCTCTCTCTCTGGTTTCAGACTCTATCCACTGTCCTCTCTCTCTCTGGTTTCAGACTCTATCCACTGTCCTCTCTCTCTCTGGTTTCAGACTCTATCCACTGTCCTCTCTCTCTCTCTCTGGTTTCAGACTCTATCCACTGTCCTCTCTCTCTCTGGTTTCAGACTCTATCCACTGTCCTCTCTCTCTCTCTCTGGTTTCTGACTCTATCCACTGTCCTCTCTCTCTCTCTGGTTTCTGACTCTATCCACTGTCCTCTCTCTCTCTGGTTTCAGACTCTATCCACTGTCCTCTCTCTCTCTCTCTGGTTTCTGACTCTATCCACTGTCCTCTCTCTCTCTCTGGTTTCTGACTCTATCCACTGTCCTCTCTCTCTCTGGTTTCAGACTCTATCCACTGTCCTCTCTCTCTCTGGTTTCTGACTCTATCCACTGTCCTCTCTCTCTCTGGTTTCAGACTCTATCCACTGTCCTCTCTCTCTCTGGTTTCAGACTCTATCCACTGTCCTCTCTCTCTCTGGTTTCTGACTCTATCCACTGTCCTCTCTCTCTCTCTGGTTTCAGACTCTATCCACTGTCCTCTCTCTCTCTGGTTTCAGACTCTATCCACTGTCCTCTCTCTCTGGTTTCAGACTCTATCCACTGTCCTCTCTCTCTCTGGTTTCTGACTCTATCCACTGTCCTCTCTCTCTCTGGTTTCAGACTCTATCCACTGTCCTCTCTCTCTCTGGTTTCTGACTCTATCCACTGTCCTCTCTCTCCTCTGGTTTCAGACTCTATCCACTGTCCTCTCTCTCTCTGGTTTCAGACTCTATCCACTGTCCTCTCTCTCTCTGGTTTCAGACTCTATCCACTGTCCTCTCTCTCTCTCTGGTTTCAGACTCTATCCACTGTCCTCTCTCTCTCTTTAGACTCTATCCACTGTCCTCTCTCTCTCTCTCTGGTTTCTGACTCTATCCACTGTCCTCTCTCTCTCTGGTTTCTGACTCTATCCACTGTCCTCTCTCTCTCTGGTTTCAGACTCTATCCACTGTCCTCTCTCTCTCTCTCTCTGGTTTCTGACTCTATCCACTGTCCTCTCTCTCTCTGGTTTCTGACTCTATCCACTGTCCTCTCTCTCTCTGGTTTCAGACTCTATCCACTGTCCTCTCTCTCTCTGGTTTCTGACTCTATCCACTGTCCTCTCTCTCTCTCTGGTTTCAGACTCTATCCACTGTCCTCTCTCTCTCTGGTTTCAGACTCTATCCACTGTCCTCTCTCTCTCTGGTTTCTGACTCTATCCACTGTCCTCTCTCTCTCTCTGGTTTCAGACTCTATCCACTGTCCTCTCTCTCTCTGGTTTCAGACTCTATCCACTGTCCTCTCTCTCTCTCTGGTTTTGACTCTATCCACTGTCCTCTCTCTCTCTGGTTTCAGACTCTATCCACTGTCTCTCTCTCTCTGGTTTCAGACTCTATCCACTGTCCTCTCTCTCTCTCTGGTTTCAGACTCTATCCACTGTCCTCTCTCTCTCTCTGGTTTCTGACTCTATCCACTGTCCTCTCTCTCTCTCTGGTTTCAGACTCTATCCACTGTCCTCTCTCTCTCTGGTTTTCAGACTCTATCCACTGTCCTCTCTCTCTCTGGTTTCTGACTCTATCCACTGTCCTCTCTCTCTCTCTGGTTTCAGACTCTATCCACTGTCCTCTCTCTCTCTCTGGTTTCAGACTCTATCCACTGTCCTCTCTCTCTCTGGTTTCAGACTCTATCCACTGTCCTCTCTCTCTCTGGTTTCAGACTCTATCCACTGTCCTCTCTCTCTGGTTTCAGACTCTATCCTGTCCTCTCTCTCTGGTTTCAGACTCTATCCACTGTCCTCTTCTCTCTGGTCTGATCTATCCACTGTCCTCTCTCTCTCCTGGTTTCAGACTCTATCCACTGTCCTCTCTCTCTCTGGTTTCTGACTCTATCCACTGTCCTCTCTCTCTCTGGTTTCTCAGACTCTATCCACTGTCCTCTCTCTCCTGGTTTCAGACTCTATCCACTGTCCTCTCTCTCTCTGGTTTCAGACTCTATCCACTGTCCTCTCTCTCTCTCTGGTTTCAGACTCTATCCACTGTCCTCTCCTCTCTCTCTGGTGGTTTCAGACTCTATCCACTGTCCTCTCTCTCTCTCTGGTTTCTGACTCTATCCCACTGTCCTCTCTCTCTCTGGTTTCTGACTCTATCACTGTCCTCTCTCTCTCTCTGGTTTCAAGACTCTATCCACTGTCTCTCTCTCTCTCTCTGGTTTCTGACTCTATCCACTGTCCTCTCTCTCTCTGGTTTCTGACTCTATCCACTGTCTCTCTCTCTCTCTGGTTTCAGACTCTATCCACTGTCCTCTCTCTCTCTGGTTTCAGACTCTATCCAATGTCCTCTCTCTCTCTGGTTTCAGACTCTATCCCTGTCCTCTCTCTCTCTGGTTTCAGACTCTATCCACTGTCCCTCTCTCTCTGGTTTCTGACTCTATCCACTGTCCTCTCTCTCTCTCTGTTTCAGACTCTATCCACTGTCCTCTCTCTCTCTCCTGGTTTCAGACTCTATCCACTGTCCTCTCTCTCTTCTGGTTTCAGACTCTATCCACTGTCCTTCTCTCTCTGGTTTAGACTCTATCCACTGTCCTCTCTCTCTCTGGTTTCAGACTCTATCCACTGTCCTCTCTCTCTCTGGTTTCAGACTCTATCCATGTCCTCTCTCTCTCTGGTTTCAGACTCTATCCACTGTCCTCTCTCTCTCTCGGTTTCAGACTCTATCACTGTCCTCTCTCTCTCTGGTTTCAGACTCTATCCATGTCCTCTCTCTCTCTGGTTTCAGACTCTATCCACTGTCCTCTCTTCTCTCTGGTTTCTGACTCTATCCACTGTCTCGTCTCTTCTCTGGTTTCAGACTCTATCCACTGTCCTTCTCTCTCTGGTTTCAGACTCTATCCACTGTCTCTCTCTCTCTGGTTTTCAGACTCTATCCACTGTCCTCTCTCTCTCTGGTTTCTGACTCTATCCACTGTCCTCTCTCTCTCTGGTTTCAGACTCTATCCACTGTCCTCTCTCTCTCTCTGGTTTCTGACTCTATCCACTGTCCTCTCTTCTCTCTGGTTTTCAGACTCTATCCACTGTCCTCTCTCTCTCTGGTTTCAGACTCTATCCACTGTCCTCTCTCTCTTCTGGTTTCAGACTCTATCCACTGTCCTCTCTCTCTGGTTTCAGACTCTATC